CGCCCCCCCGCCAATCTTAAACTTGGGGGCCTTAACCCCCAAAAACCCCCGCAGCACGCAAGGGGGGGGGGAATTTCTGGGAGTTGAAGCCAGCATACTGGCTGGGGAATTCTGGGAGTTGAAGTCCCCACCTCTTAAAGTCGCTGAGGTTGAGAAACACTGCTTTAGGTTCTAGTCAAAATGCTACTCCTGAGCCTGGAGTCAACAGAAATCCATGTGCCTCCTGAAGAGGCCGAAAGATGCATGAACGCATCAGTTAGTAAAATATTACCTGTACATCTTCTCAATGCTAAGCCGCGGATATGAAAAACGATAGGAAGTCAAGCTGAAAGTGTATTTTAGCAAAGAGAATCAGGACCGGCAGCCTGTTTGACGCTGGCTTAAAATATTGCGGAAATGTACCCCGTTCAGACTGTAAATGACTTAAACACTGCCTTTGTTTCAGATGTCCTTGCCCTGGCCGCTGCTGTGAAAGAGTTGGCTTCCTTCACGCGAAAGACACGTACAGCTTTATGGTGTGCTTTTCAGATGGCCCTTCCCAAAATTTTGGCCAGCCCTCCAGTTCACAGGAAGGAAGTGCAGAGGGCGCTGAGAGCGCTGGGTCCAGCCAGCGTCTCCTTGCAGACGAAGGTCCTTGGAGAAGGCGAAGACAAAGAGAACGAGAGAGTGAATTAGGAAGAATTGAGCAGGTTATGAAATGAGCCTACTCAAGTGAGCTCGTGAAGGAGCTGGGTTAACAGATTTCGCTGCTCTTTCTACTGGTTTTTCACCCTGCTGACATTCGAGCCTAGAAAAGTGTTTTTCCGTAATGGTATTGCAGAAGTCTTTGTAACATTAGAAGGTTGGCAATGTTTGTTCACCGTATTGACTCCTGATCCAAAGCTTGTGACTCCAGCCGTGAACTAGGAAGCGGCTAAACTAACATGGTGTTTTACACTTTGTCAGTTTTTGCAATGCAGCTTATTTTCTTTTTTCAGTTTTTGGAAGATGAATATTTTAAGTGCCAAAGTAACTGCAAACCACTGTGCGTTTCTTCTTTTTTAAACTGATCATGACTAATGCACGTTTCGGTTGATGTACTGTCGGGAGCTGAAGTCCTTCAGGCAGTTGCCCGTGTCCGGATGAAGCAGCCATCAGTTAGTTTAAGTTGCATGAAAGTTGGGAATTCGCGTCGTCAGCTGACGTTTCAAGCTGGGCTCGCCTGTAACTCGTCTCGCAAAAGAGTTTTGGGAAGAGGGGTTCAGTACGTTTTGAAAGGAAAAAGTTCTAAATATCAAGCATTAAATAGTGCTTTAGGATAGCCAGTCAGCCAGTGAGAAGAAATTGCTTAATATCCAACGGTTTTTCTTAAAGCAGGCATGGGCAGCCTCGACCCACGTCCCGAAGGCCTTCTCCCTCTGAAAACACTTTCTCCAACATCGCTGTGCCTCCAGAAAAAGCATCGCTCTCCCTTTGCACATGTAGCATGAAGTTCTCTGACTCTGAGAGTTGAAAGCCGTTTCCCCACTCCTGTTTCAACTGTTTAGAGCTACTGTTTTATTTGAGATGCACTTCCTGGGGGGAAAAAAAGACACTGTTAATGACATAGTTATTTTAATGAGAAATCTATTATTTTTATCTTACTTTAAACTAAACTTTCGATCCTTTGCCAGACCTTAATCATCAGGCTTATTGATGCTCAGGATGTGTTCCAGGATAAATCGTTTACAAATATGCCTAATATATTAAGTTTGTAGAATTGGGATGTTTGTAGAAATAGTTGCACAAAACTAATCCTCCGTAAAGGATTACCAAAGCAGCCTTTTAGCGCGAAAAGAGTTTGTGTGTTTGTTAACTGCTGTTCGTCTCTTGGACAATCAAGTGTGCTGTGCGCCCGTGTGAAGTTACAAGATGAGAATCAAAATAGATGGGCCCAGTCCAACATTTTCACTGGGCCTTCCCTGATTTTGCATATGAGAAATTGAGGATTTCCCCTTCATTGTAATATTGGAGGGAATCTGTGACTGGAAGATGAAAGGTGATAGAAGATGCTTGAGCAGTGTTTCTCATCCTTGGCAACTTTAAGATGTGTGGACTTCAACTCCCAGAATTCCCCAGCCA